GGGGCCGCATAGTACTTGGCTGTGCAGGGAGGGGTTTCAGGCACGGTTGTTGGGTTGAAGTGCGTGGCTCAGCAAACAACCAGCCAGATGCCGCTGCCGCTGCCACTGCTGATGCTACTGCCGCCGCCGTCGCTGTTGCCCGGTTTTCATTTGTAATTTCTCTGCCGCTCAATGAATTTGCGCCACTGCCGCCTGCAGGGCCTGCGCTCTCCGCCTTGAAAGGGGCAATCGCTGCCACAGCCGATTATGGCAGCTGCCTTTGCACACAGGTGACGCCATGTGGCCCAGGCTCCCTGCCCTGTGGCCTCACTTGAGAACGAAAACGCGTTGAGAGACGCCAGCGTCCCGGCAGCTTCCCCGCGGTCGCCCTTGGCCACGGTCCCACCAATGCCGCACAGCACTGGCACCGCGTGGCTAGACCAGCCGGGCCTGTCGGCGGCGCCGACGTAGTAGCGCCATCTGTCAGTCCTCGCCGAACCGCACACCCACGGCGTCCGCTCGCCTTCCACGATCAGCTGCAGGCTGCTGACGCGCGTGCCCTCCAAGTTAGAGCCGACCCAGGCCTTGATGACGCCCGCTGACGTGGTGGGCACGTTGAGCGCCTTGACGTCGCTCGTGTGGCTGCCCAGGAGCGCCGCGCGTTGGCTGCCGATCGGCTGGAAGAACCAGTCGTCGCCGCCGTTGAAAGAGATGCCGGAAATGTAACCCGCGTCGTCTACGGCGCACTGCACCGCGGTTATGGAGCCGGTGCTGCAGGTCGTGGATGCGAGGGGCGGAGCGCAGGCTGGTTGAGCTCGTGTTGCATGGCGCATAGGCTGGTTGCTGCTCACCATATGTTTCGTCCGATCCGGCGCCACATTCATAAAATGCCGCCTGGTCCTTTCATGATTTATAAGCTTGATATCTGCGAGGCCCAGGGGCCCAGGCCACTCACCAATACATGCCAGGAGCCTGCTGCGCTTGGCACGCTGCGGCGGGTCGGGCACGCGGCGACGTGCGCACGCATATGATATCAAGCGCGCAGGCGAAACAATATCACATATGCCTTCCATGTACAAATTTTGCAGAGAGTTGTGGGCCAGGCGCACATCCACATCAATCAATGCTGCTGCTGCTGCAGCGGCGGCGAGGTGCCACCGGGGCCGAGATGTGCCAACCAGCACTGATGGGTTACCTGATAGCAAACCTACTGCCAGGAAAAGCCCCAAAAGTCTCCTGTAACCCTCCATCCTGTGCTTCTTGGTCCTCACAGGTGCGCCTCGCGGCCCATGACAACGAAGCCGTGCTCGCTGCTCGCAAGCGAACGCTGGCTGAGCCAAACACTCCAACAATGATTCTTGACCCTCGTTTCTAAATACGGTACTGTGCACTCCCTCAGTTGGCAGCGAGCAGGGCAGCGCATCAATCACAGAACGGCTTTTTTTGGATCCTCTCACGCAACGCAACCACCGGCCTGCTTTACACTACCGAACTACACGTGTCTGTTCATTGACCTAAAATTAGGCCCAGAGAGCCCCAGGACCTGCAAACTCGACCGGCACATCCATCACGTGCCGCCACACGCAGCGCCAGCAGCAAACAGTGGTAGCCTGGACAGCTCTCAAAATCAAACTGCTCCTAGAGACAAAGCACCGCTGTGCCAGCGTGGTAGCATCCAAACATGATGTAGAGTCATTGCAGTTGTTGCTTCCACTCATCCACGCACACTTGAAGAGACGCCCTGCGCGGTGCGCGACAGGCCAGCTGCGCCCTACGACATCCCCGCAGCCATCGCCTGCAGCCCCATCCCCACCAGCGCATCCTGCACCCGTATGCGGCATACCCCGCTCGCCTTGGCCAGCCGCCGCAGCAGCCGCAGCGCCTGCTGCTGGCCCCGGCCCTGCAGGCGCGAGAGCGCCGTCAGCAGCGCGCCGGCGCCGTCGGCTCGGACGAGGTCCTGCAGCGCGCGCGGCGCGCCGCACAGCGCGCTCAGCGCGCTGACCGCGGCGCCGGCGGTCGGGGCATCGAGCGACAGCGCGCCAACCAGGGCGGGCACGCAGCCAGCGTCCTGCGGGCGGGGCGGTGAGGGGCGGAAGGGCGAAGCGCCAGGGCGTTGACGAAGGCGGCAGGCGTTGCTGTTGCGCCCACGCCGAGCACCAGCGCGGCAATGAAAGCTCCTAGCCCACACATGTATGTGGCCACAGCCGGTGCCTAAGTTTGCACGACGTGAGATGCAATTGTGGAGCAAAAGGTCCGCCCGCCGCCGTGCGGTCTGCTAGCAGACCAGACACTCACGATCATCAGCCGGCGCGCGGCCGGCTGCCGGCACTTTGACAGGTTCTGCAGGGCGCGGGCGGCCACCGCACGGCACGCCCTGTCTGCAGGGCCGCCTGACGCGCCGGCGGCGGCGCCTGCGCCGCCACTCTTGCCGCCGCTCGCCCCGCCGCGCAGAAGGGCCGAGAGCACCTGAGTTTGGTTTGGGGTTGCATGCGATTAGATTAGCCACCTGAGGAGCCTTCTGCCCTGCAGTATACGATACAGGTGAACCACCCTGCTGCCGCACTCCAATCTTCAACTGTGCTGTGATACATCAGGCTGCCTGGTGCGACGATTGGCGCCCTGTCCCCGACACCGCCTGCCCGCGCGACTTCCGGCAGCTGCAGGCGTGTGCGCACCGTTGCGGCCCCCTCGCGCAGGATGTCCAGCCGGTTGGCGTCGCTGCTGGCCAGGTTGGTCAGAGTCCTGCGGGGAAGCGGGGGCGGGGACCCTCAGTACTCCCCCCTCCATGGTAGTTCCGTGGCCTTTGCTGGTGCGCTGCCGGCTTTGACATGGCCGCACAGCCCTCAACCACCCATCGGCATGCCAGCTGCGGCCCAGGCAGCGCCTGAGGTGCCAGGCGTGCCTCCATGCCCCGTGAATTCAGCACCCAACACGGAGGGCCCATCATCTGGCTCTTGCCGTGCTGCATCAGCTCAAGTAATCAGAAGCACCCACCTGGCCGCGTACTCCTTGGCGGCGGGCGACCCCGACAGCGCCGCGTGCACCAGCACGCCGACAGCCCCTGGCAGCCCAGCGAGAGAATCAAATGAAGGAAGGGAGGGCGCGGCGCCGCAGTCAGCACAGCTGCCGCTGGCACTGCCGCTGGCGCTCGCGAGCAATCTTCCCTGACAAATACGCTGCAGCTGCGCCCATCGACGCCCACTCTCAGGCCGGGGCACATGCCATAACGCTCTACCAGGCCACCCTGAAAGCTTGCGAGCGAATGCAAGGCCGAGTGCCCGCGGAGCCCGCCAGGCGGCGGCGCACCCGACGCCATGACGGCTTGCTTGTGTGGGCCCTCCACAGACAGCACCAGCAGTACCCCCAGCGCCGCGAGCCGCCCGGGGCCCGGCAGCGCGTGCGCGACCTCGACCATCGCGCCCACTCCGCCGGCCGACACGAGCGCTGTGCAGGCCTCGCCGCTGCCCACCGCAAGGTTCCTGCGCGGCCGAATTTCGAGGCGGTTTGCAGCGGCGTCTTGGTGGGATGCGGGCCGTTTGCAGCATCCAATTCGCAACCACTCAAGGGCACTCACCAAGGTGTGCGATATCTGAGTGGCGAAAGGAAACAAGGGCAGCTAGCAGTCCTCGTATGAGAGGTGACTGGTGTGCACGCCTCGAGCCTCCCTTTCACACCCACGCTCCTCTTCCCTCGCACCTGATGGCCTCCACCGCGGCCGTCCGCGTCGCCGCCTCCGGCCCGCCCCGCGCCGCGGCCAGCAGCGCGGGGACGCCGCCGCAGGCCAGGAGCTGCAGCTGCAGGTCATCATTGACGGCCAGGTTGCGCAGGGTGCCGATGGCGGCCGCCTGCAACCAAGTGCAAGCGCATGCGTGAGACGCATGATGCGAACGCCGCATGAGGCCGGATGCATCGCACGCCCCTGGAGGTCTTGGTGGGGGCGGCTTCTGCAAAGCTTGGGGTCAAGGTCCACACGCTGTCTTGGCGCTTGACTTGCATGCACGTAGGGAAAGCACGGAGCATGCCCCATCGCGGGCCCAGCACACTCCCACACATCATGTGACCTCGCGTGCGCATACACACACACACACACACACACACACACACACACACACACATGCACACACACACACACGCACGCACACACACACACACACACACACTTGCTCAAACAGACACACCTGCACACACACACACACACACACGCTCCCGTGCAGGCCCCATCACCTGCGCCGCGTGGGTCCCGTCGCGCAGCAGCCCCAGCAGTCCCTCCACCCCGCCCTCCTCCCCCAGTGCGGCCTCGCAAGCCGCGTCCAACGACAAATTCTCCAGGGCGCAGGCCGCAGACTCCTGCGCGGTCGGGCCACCGTACTGGGGGCGCAGGCGCGGGCGCGGGTGCGGGTGCGACCCAGGTAGGTCGGGGTGGATTGTGTTATCCAACGCCATGACAGGAGGGACCCATGACTGCTGCTCGCACCCCTCGCATGCACATGCAATCCGTGACATCCCTTGTGGATGCAGCCATGGCTGCTACATCGGCATCCTGGATCTGCGCTGCTCTGCGCATGCAGGCGCAGGCGCCCGCCTGTGCACGGCGAGCACGTTGACGCGGTTCAAGCGCTGTGTGCATGCACACGTGTGTGTGTGTGTGTGGGGGGGGGGGGTGGGCGCGCGCGCGTGTGCGCCTGCGCACCCTGAGCACGTCGACGAGAGCGCGCACGCCGTTGGCCGCGACGATGAGGGCCCGGATGTTGGGCTCCTCACTCGCCAGCATCATCAGGGCCGCGCACGACGCCTCCTGGCCGATCGCGTCCGAGCTGGCCGCCTGCGCAGGGGAGCACGCCAAAGGGCGGCGAGGCGGCGGCGTCGTGCGCGCGAGCCGAGCGGGGCGGGCGCGAGGGATCGGGCGAGCAGGGGGCGTGGCTTGCGGCGAAGCAGGCGCGCGTGGCGTGCTGGGTGGGGCCCGCTTTGGCGGCTGCCCGCTTCGGCGGCTGCCCGCGTCGACGGCTGCCCGCTTCGGCGGCTGCCCGCTTCGGCGGCGAACGCCTTGTAGTTTCACGCGGCCAACCAAGGCGCGTGTGCGCGACATGCGGGCTGCGGCGGCGGCGGCGCGGGAGGCGCGCCGCGCCGGGCGCCGCACCATGTCGATGAGCGCGGTGACGGCGCCCGCGTCGGCCATGCGCTGCCTGCCGGGGTGGAGGGGGCGCCCGGGCGGGGGTCTCGCGACCGGGTCCCCCGGATCAGGGCCGGCCCCTAGGCGCCTCAGGCGCGACAAGGCTCGGCGCACGTCAAAGCCAAGTAGCGCTGGCTGCGGCCTGCAGCAAGCCCGATGCCTGCACGCTTGCGTTTGGCACTGGTCGTCGCACCGCACATGCGCGCGACGTCGGCCCCCTCCTCGCGCCCCACCTGCACTCCGCGCCGAGCGCGAGGTTGTTCAGCGCCAGCGCCGCCGCGCGCGCGGCCGCGGGGTCGGGCGCGCCCAGCAGCGCCACCAGCGCGGCCAGCACGCGGCCGCAGCCGAGGTCTTCTCGCAGCTCGTCTGACCGGGATATGTACCACGCCAGGTGCGCCGCCGCCCACGTGCAGCGCGGGTCCGCACCCTGTCGCGCGGCGCGCGGGGCGCGCGCGGGTGGGGCGCACAGGCGGACGAGGCGTCTGCGCCCTGCGCGTGTCCGTGGCAGCTGCAAGCGGCCCCTCGGGCTGTTCAGTGCGCGTGCGCTGGGCGACCGGTGCGACGAGCAGTGGCGGTCCCCCTCCGTTGGCCATGTAACCACACTGCCCCCAGCCGCCACCGGGCATGGGCTCATCATGTCCCGACTCGCATACACCTCCCACATGACCCGTCAACAGCCAGCCAGCGCAGCCAGCAAGCAGGAAATCGCGGCTGCGCCCTCTTCCCCTACAGGCAGCGCTCTGGGCGTCAGACAGCATCCCCCGCCCACCTCCAGCATGGCTGCGACCTCCTCCAGGAGACCCGCCGCCACCAGCGCCGCCCGCAGCTCTGCGTCCCTTTCCGCATGCAGCGCCAGCGTCACCACCGCCGCCCGCCGCCGGTCAAGCTCCGCTGCGACGCCATCCGGCTCCACACCAGCCGCTGCCACGGCCGCCGCCGTCCCGGCCTGCGCGCGGCCGGCCGCCGTAGCGCCGCTGCCGGTGGGGCAGCTGCCCCGCAGCTGCCGCATCAGCTCCTCCAGCTGCTCCTTCGAGCACTCCTCCTGCACCTCGCACCCGCCGCCGCCCGCCTCTGCCAGGCCGCCCGCCGCTGCGGCGGCGCCGTTGTTGTCACCGTGGACAGGGCCGGCGAAAAGGCGCGGCACGCGGGACGCGGCGCCGCCGCCGCCACCAACCCGCGCCACGCCACGGCCGACGGCCGGGATGTCCGTGAGCAGCACAGGCGCTGAATACTGGGTAGAGCCCAGCGAATGCGTGGTAGCAAAGCTATGGGTGCTGGCGCAATCGTCCCTGCGCGACGATGCAAGTATTGCGATGTGGTTGCAGTTGGAGCGGCTGGTGGTAGGGTGGCTATGAAGCTGGGGGCGTCTTAACGGGATGCTGAGCACGCGTACGCGCTGCCAGCATGCACATGCACAAGCATGCACATGCACACGCATGTGCACTCCATTGCAACGGTCTGCGCGTCTGAACATGGGACGACCTAGCTTGCTGCCTGCGTATGATGCCGGCCCGCCCCCGACCTGCGCCAGCCGCCCGCCCACCTGTCTCCCTGGTCTCTGAGTGTCCTGCTCGCTGCGCCGCTGCTCCTGAACCCCGACGCAAACCGCTCCAGCTCCCTCGCCGCCCCCCCTCCCGATGGCCCGACCCCGTTCGCGCCCGAGGCGCCACCGGCACCAACGGCCAGAGCGCGGCCAACGTCCCCCCATGTAGCTGCCGTCTCTGCCTTCGTGTCTACAAGCTTGCACTCTGCGGCTCCGGGCTGCCCAAATCCGGAACCAGGCGTATGGCCTGCTGCATGGCCGGCGGCGCTGTTATCTGGGTGATCGGGCTGGTCGCACGCCCCCCAGCGCTGCTGGTCGTCCAACCCGCCCGGCCGCCCCGTGTCGTCGCCGCCGCCGTCGCCCTGCCCCTGCCCCTCCTGCTGCTGCTCCTGCTGCTGCTGCAGGGCAAAGATCGCCCTGCTGGCCTGGTCCCACTCTGCGGGAGAGCAGTTGCACAGGGGTTTCGGGGCGGGTCGCAGGATGCAGCATCCCCTGATATGCGCGACTTTGCAGGGCGCCACGACAGGCACGTCCTGCGTGCAGCAAACAAGCGCTGATTTTGCGCCCTTCAAAAGGAGACCTAGACGGCTGCTGGGTGCGCAGCGGCCGCTGCGAGCCGCACCCCGCGGTCCCGCGTTGTGGGGCTGGTTGGCCCCCTCACCGTCCTGCATCTGCCGCATCGCGTCCGCGAGCGCCACCACGTGCCGCTGCAGCCCTGCTACGGCAGCCTCCTGGCGGAACACCGCATCGCGCAGCGTGCGCACCTCGGACGCGGATTGCGGCAGCTGCGGCGGGTGGGCGGCGCCGCCTTGGGCGGCGGCAGACAGGGACGGCCTGCGCGTGCGTGGTTGCAGCGCAAAGCTTCGGAATGAGTTGGCAAGTGCAAGTATGCATGTGTCATGGTGATTCCGCCGCTGCCCTCCAGCACATGCGCGCAAGTGTGTGCACGCTAATGCACACATGCGGCCGTTTGGCACATGGTCCTGAGGCCCTTGCGCCGCGGGGCCGGGCCCGCCGTGCACAATGCGTGGCCCAACCAAACCAGCCAGTAGCACCGGCTGCCTACCTGCCAGACCATGACCGTGGTGAATAGAGCCGGTTTCTATCACGCTCCGGCTCCTGCACGGGCGGGCCACCCTCTGCCAGCTGCGTGCGAAAGCGGCCGCGTGGTTGACGGCGGCAGCAACCGATTGGCGCGCATGCCACTCCGGTGGCAGCGTCAGCAGTTGATAGGAAAATTGCAACGTCCCAGAGTTCGGCGCTCACCACCGAGGACAACGAAAGTACGTTGGTCGTGTGGATTGGCGCTGCACGTTGCCGCTTCTTGTCCCAGGGCCAGCCCATCCTTTCGCTCCTCAACCTTCGTCAACCAACTGCGATCGGCACCTTCTGCCTTTGCTCGATCACTTGGTTTGTGCGAGATCCATCGCTGGGATCACCTGCAGCTCGACTTGACAGCACTTCGGGCCGCCGTGACCTATCCAATCGGCAGTATGGATTGCTAAATAATTCGGACGAGGTGAGCAGCGAGCCCAGGTATGTGCTTCGCTTTTCAAACGCGGGGCGAGCGCACCTGCCTCGTTGCTGCTGCAGACCACGCTGCAGACGTGCGCAGGTTTATACAAAGCTGGAGCACAACAGCAGAGGGCAAAGGACAGTTAAATTGTATTTGTTGATGTGTTGTGTGATGATTGGCCATGTGTTGTGAAAGGCGCCTTGGGAACAGCTGCATTGAACCGGTTGCGGCGAGGAGCATCAACTGGCAGCCTCATGCATGAACTGGCACCCTCATGCGTGCGGGCTGACGTTGAGCTGCACCTAGGGCCGCTCAGGGCGCACCGTGGCCAGACTCCAATGCTAACGAAGCAGCAATCAAGGCGCACTGATCGGCTGTGCTGTAGGTGGGATGCTGGGCTTGCACCACGAGGGGTACGGTGGACGACGACTACCACGCTGGGCGCCTGCACATGTCTTTGTCTGGCTTGATAGGAACGCGATAGTGCCGCACTGCAACTGCTGCACTCTGCAGGCGCCCATGCTTCAAAACACCACTGCAGGCAGTACTGTACTTGTCACCAGCTCACCAAGTGACTGTGCATTTTAAGCTTACAAGGCGGTTGCTCAGTCATCTTGCGCTTGCGCAGCAGAACTTCGTAAAGGTTTGTACAGTAAGCACACTTGCCGCAACATCAAGATCGTTTGATATTACACAGCGGCCCGCAAGAGGTCCACACTAGTGCATCTGCATACCATAAGCATGTAAAGAGCTAAACAGTATTCATCAGCCATGCCGCAAAAGCCGCTGCTCAAGGCGAACAAGAAATTGGAGAAGAAGCAGGCGGCTAATCGCCATGGAAAAACACCCAAGACAAAGAAGGGTGAGTTGATTATCTCTCGTCGTAGAGCGGTCCAGCAAGTCTGGCCCTCACGTGCTGACGTCGATGTGCAGCTCAAGCGGCCGTCGCGTCGGCGTCACGCTGATGCGCCGCACTGCCCCTGCGCACTGCTTCATGTGATGGTCCTGTATTTTGGCCCATGCAATCTCAAAATCTTTTGAAGAGTGTGGCCAGGCTTTACTGCGCACCTGACGGGCTGAGTGTGGCGCGCTCAATGCACCCCCCTGCGCGTCCGCCTTGCTCCTCGCCGCCGTGCGCAGGCTCGCTCGCAATCAAGCCGAAGAGGGCGGCGCTTCAGGGGGACTACAAGGACCAGCAGGTGGGCGCGCCTGCCCTGGGCAGGTTGACCAAGCATCTCCCGTTGGGAGCCGCGCACGCGCTGCAGCACCTTGTGGAAGTCAAGCGGCACTCACCAGCGGCACTCGTGTTGCTGCAAGTGCCGACAAGCTGCTGTCTTGGTGCTTGTGGGCGACGGCGAAGCACGCAGCACCTGAGCCGCCGCTGCGCCGCCGCCCTCACAGGAGCTGAGTAAGATGATCAACAAGAAGAATGAGTCAAATTTCGCCGCCAAGGCGGAGCAGGCGGGGGGCCAGATGAAGATGGTGAGCAGCGGTGCGGCTTGCGCGCGCCTCTCCTGAGGGGATTCAAGGGCCGAGAGCGCGTGCAGGGGCGGTGCGGTGTAGGTGGTCGCGGCTGCGCAACACGCAGATTCAACCAAGAGCGCGGGTGTCGGGCATGCCTCTGCTGTTGGGCGGAGATGCCCCGATGGCGGCGCTGCTCAATGCGCCGTGCGGGCGGTCGCGATCTAAACGCACTGCCGCCGCGCTGTCCGCTGCCGCAGGTCAAGGCGCCGCCGCCTGTGCTGGCGCCAGCGGACGCCAAAAAGCGCGCCAAGGAAGCCAAAGAGACCAAGAGGGCCGGAGCGGCTGCAATGCAGGACTGACCCCTGCCTGCCCCCTTCAGTGTTGGGACACTCTGTCCTGTCATGAGTGTTTAATCTAGGTTGTCGTGTTGCAATGCCCGACTTGATGTGCCATTTTGTGGATCATGCATCCCTGCACTCAGTACGGCATAGCGGTCGAGCCCGACCGACTCCGCTTGCTGTTAGCACCTTTTATGGCTTAATCCTTAAGCTGCGCGACTCCATAGCTGCAGAAGCCAGCGTTGTGCAGTTGGATGATTGCACCAGGGACGCAGATGCATTGACAAGATTACCGATGACGGTCAAGCACACGTGAACGCTAAGCCGCACGCAGCCAGCACCGCCATGTTGCAGCAGCACTGGGCGTCGAGGGACAGGGCGAGCCAGAATGGGGGAGGGGGGTAGCGTACAGGAACAAAGCGGGGCAGAAAAGGCTCTGAAGGCTCACTTGACTTGGGGCAAAGCAGGATGTGCACTAAGAAAGGCGCGCAGGAGACAGGGCAATGAAGCGCCGCAGGCAGGGGCGGCGGGTGTTGCAGCTCTGACCACAGCCGGGGCGCCCTTATGAGTGCAAACACAATCAGCTGTGCAAGGGAACTTAATGACATCCAAGACGCCGCGAGGGCAAATCAATCGGCGGGTGCTGTAAAACGCCATGCCGGCCCCAGCCGGGTTGTTGTTGCGCGTGTTAAGACTCCAGCCCTCAACCTCCCGTTGCAGTTGGGAGCTCCGTTCCCTCCTAATCCCTCCCCTCCAGACGGACGTGCCAACAGGAGGCTATCCGATATTGCGGGGGCCGCGCCCTCCAGGTGGACTGCGGCCCCCCCGCAGAAAGCGGCGACACTGGATGCGCGATCAAAACCGGCGCCCCCCAGCAAAAACAGGGCTGGCGCCAGATGAAACAACAGGCACAACGGGCTCGCGCGCTTCTGATGCGCACAAGCTCTAGGCAAAACACACGCCACATGCGTGCCGCCCAAATGCCCTCCTCACGCGCAAGGAGTGCAGTTGGGCGGCGCGGGCGGCGTGCACAAAGCACCATGCCCGCGCTGCAAGGCAGCGCAGGCTGGGTGAGGATTGAGTCGCCTGAGCACGTTTTTGACGCAGGCCCAGGCGACAAGCTGGCAAAACGCGCCACGAACGTCAAAGCCGGTTCCACTAACAGGCAGGTCACACGGCATGCGGCGACACCGCACTCGTGAAAACACAGCCGATCGCTGACAGGCCGGGGGTGGCGGGTCGGCAGGAAAGCACGCCTGGGAGCGAGCCCGCCCAACGCCCGGCCTTCATACAGGGGAAGCACACGTGTTGGGTTGGAGTTGTCGTGCGGGTGGCGAATATGTGGCGTAGGGAGCAGGGGCGAAGTGCTTGTGTGTAGGTGTGTGGGGCCGGCCGACGGGACCGGCGACGGGAGACGCAGCCACGCAAGCCGGCTCAGGCATGTGGGGACATTGGGGGGGCGCGATGCGACGCCCTCACAGGCGTGACGCCCCCCTCTCCACCAGTGTCCGGCCAGCCGCTATGGCCACGCCGTCCTTGCGCACGGCCCATGCCATGTGGGCATATGGTTTGGTAAGCCCAGCCAGCCCGCAGGGGGGCCAGCGCCGGCCGCCGGCGGATGCACATGGAAGGGGCTGCGGTGGCACATGGGCACTCCTGTGCCCTTGCAGTGCTCCGGGGCTCCTCAAAAGCTGCCTCAAAGCGTGCGAGCTGCACACGGCCGTTGGAGGCGTGCAAGCCAGGCCTGTCGGCTGGCTGACCAGTTAAGGGGCTGGGAGCGACAGGGCCGCCCGCGGCTGAGCCGCACAACATTTAGTAGTCGTCTGCGTCCGTCTCCGCCTCCGCCTCTGCCACAGCCTCCTCCTCAGCAAAGCGGTCGCGGAAGCTGAGGATCGCGCGGATGCGGCCGTCGGGGCCGAACGTCAGCTGGTCGCAGCCGCACACCTCGGAGACCAGCCCAGTGGGAGGGGCGCCTGACCGGCTGGGCAGCAGGTCCGCGGCGGTCGCGTGCCATTCGCAGGTGGCGCTCGAGCCGGTGGCGTCGAGCGATATGTCATCCTGGAGGGACGAGGGAGACGGCGTGCGTGGTGCTTGTTGCACGCGCGGCGCACCAATGGGGTGGGCAACCCTGCCCACGCGTATTGCGTCTTCCAACAGCGGCCGCGGGGGGATTTGCATGAGAATGGCACCAACTGCACAGCCTCGTTTGCCTGCATGCACGCATGCATGCTGGCAAGCGATCATGTGTGGGACACCTCGCGCCAGGTCACCTACCACTTCGATGTGCAGTAGCGGGTGGCTGGCGCAGCAGTCGCCAATCATCTCGGCCAGGCCCGCACGGCCAAAAACGTCGCTGCCGCCGCCGCGTGCGTCGCTGTACGTGACGGAGCCGTTGCAGAGGCAGTCCAAAAGCTCCACAGTGTTGTGCGCCCAAACCTCAGTGTAGAAGAGCTGGGAAGGGATGTGCAATAAAATGCGTGCAATTGTCAGGGATATCAAACCGGGAGGGACATGGACGCCATGAATGCCCGCGGGTCGTCTGGGCGGTGGCGCATGCGTGGAAACACATTGCGCAGGCAGCGCCCGAGTGCACAGCCGCGCTGCGCACGCTTCGATGCACAGGGGCGAATCTGCAGGACCTTTAACCGCGCGCCAAAGACGAGACAATGGTTGCGAACAACATCACGGCTACGCAAGCAGCGAGGCCGCCCTGTCTCAAATCCCGACGCTCACCTCCACCGCCTTGGCGCGATCAGACAGCAGCGTCTCCGCGGCGCGGTAGTCCAACGCCTTGCAGATGTGACGCGCTACACGTGATCCCGAAACGGGCGCCCGGCACCAAAGCTTGGTGCTCGCCGTGGGGGCAGCACAGCAACTCGGGGCGACAAGCCCAACGCGCGCCAGCATCTCGAAGTAATCTAAAAACAAGCTAAGTAATGACAAGCCTACTGGCTGCTTCCAGGGAGACGCGGCAAACCGAGCTGGCTTGGCCAACACCAAGCAAAGCGTCAAGGTAGGCTGCTGCGAGCAGATAGTAGAGCAGGAGCCATCATGTGGTATACCACACGAAAACACGACTGAGGCAAGCGAGGGGCCCCCTCTTCAAGTACGGAGGCTGGCACTGAACGTGCGTCGGAAGCTGCCTCTGCTCGAGGTGGAAGGGCCACGCAGAACGTGCAGTGAGGTACCGGCAGAACACATTGGATGAAATGGATTTTTCATGGTCACTCCTTCAGGACCCGTGTCGCGCCGCCCAACCCAAAGTATCTGGCGCATGAATCCTGGATTGGCAGGAGAGGCACAGCAAGAGCTTTCCGGGCCTGTGTGTTTTGACATGGTGCTGGTGCTGCTGGTGTTGTTGATTTTCGGTTGTTGTTGTGGTTGTTCGTGAGTCCTGCATCAGTTGACCACACTGGCAGTTCAGGGAACGCATGGCGGGGGGCTGTGGCCGTCCACCGCAGACAGCGACACGTCCATCGCAACAGGTGCAACGGGCAGGGGGGGCAGGGGTGGCACGGGCAGCCAGTTCGCCTGCTCCCCCCCCCCCACACACACACACCACCTGTCCCAGCCTCTGCTGCTGCAGCCGCTCCTGCTGCCTTGGTGCACCCACAGGAGAACCACGAGTACAGGCACAATCTCCCCTTCCCGTTCCAGACACCCCACCCGAACTCAGTGTGCCAGGCATTAGACCTGTTGCGTCCTGCCGAAGGCGTGGACCCCTGTGCTGTCAATGAGCGTCAAAACCCCTGCAATTGGCCCTTGGGCAGGCGTCGGCCCGCCCGCGCCGACCAACAAGCGCCCCGTCGCGGCGGGAAACCGTCGCTTGTTACACGACAGGGCCCACACTGTTGCGCAGCTGCCCGCCATGATCATCTGAGGCAACCGGCGCAGCTGCAATCAAGCGGCCCCTGCGAATGCACAAAGGGGCAGGCTGAATAAGCCTGCGACAAGCCCGCGCCACAGGTGATTCAGAGTTTGGTGTAAAGGGCGCCGCGCCACCCCTGAGTGGCACTTTGTGATCACAGCAGCCCTAGAGGATCGCCAAACACCTTGGCCAAAGCCGCGCCCCCCGGGCTCAGAGGGGCCGATCTCCGCCCGTCGTCCTCCACCGAGAGCGCCTCACGCCCTGCCGCCGCCCCCGGCCGCGTCGGGCCAGGCGAGCCCCCGCCGCCGCCCGCGCGCCCCACAAGCGGCAGC